GTATGTATCTGTCTGTCTGTCTATCTTTCATCTACCATCTATCTGCCCATCCGTCCACCATCCATCTACTGACCTATAATCTATTCTTCCACCATGAGTCCATACACATCTCCGTGTTGACTTTCTGCTCCACTAACCTGGAGTCTGATCCATTAGTTCCCCCTTCTAATCAGCTCAGGGAGGAAATTAGTTGGCATTTTATTAACACATCAAAGGGACAAAGGTCAGCTGGCAATCATGCAATAAACATCTTAGATGTGGGACACAAGCTTAGTGGATTCTATCTTTTGCTTAGGGGTACATTTTATCCTTTGAATGTAAACCAGATCATCCATATTCACTCCAGAAAGATCCACAACATTCATAAGTTCATCAAAAGCAGCCAAATAAATGTAATGTCATGGTTATAGAAAATCTCTGTTATTATGAGTTAAAGTACAAAAATCTAATTTTATGTCTACAGGGAAATATTGTCAAAACATCAAGGAAAATCGTTTCAATGTAAGATCTAACTATGACTTCATATACTTCTTGGGATAATTAATTATCATGCTAATGTATAATGTTTATAAAATATATAAACTTGTTACAAATGTAGTAACTGAGGTCCAAATACATGCTGAATAATAGAACTCCTCATTGTCGTTCACCATTTGCTCACTGTTGGCATTTTAGAATCCCAGAACAATTAATTCTGATAGAGGATATTATTTTATAGTATTTTTAAAAAAGAGTTGCTAATAATAATATAGCCCAAGTAAGGAATTTAAATGAAAGTTTGTTTCCTTCAAAACACATAAGCGTTTCCCATGTTCAAAGACATGTACATATAATTATAAATAGTGTGCTAAAGTAGGAGCACCATGACCACTCAGCTGAGAAAGTCTCCTCCCAATAGTCTCCATTCATTACTACCTTTTCCTCATCTTTATAATCACCTGTTTATCAGCAAATGATGTCTTAGTAAAAAGACCCCATAATCAGTAACTAATATCTTTTTCATCATGCCTATGTGTGATGTTTAAAACTGTGTTCATCTGTTTCTGTCCCCTACTTAAAGCAGTTACAAGTCACTGATGAATTTTTAATGTGTCATGCAAGGGACCAGGTTAACTATGCCCTGCAGTCTTATGGAGCTTAGTATTCCCTAGTAAAAATTCATGATATCTTTGCCTGAAGTCTTATTAAAATTGCTTCATTCAACCAATGGGTAAAGTATTTCATTAAAATCATGCTAAGTGATTATAATAAAAAAATCTTTGTAAGAAGATATTACTAAAAGAGATGTAGGCTGTCAAATAACAGATCTAGTAATGAGATACCACCAAAATAATCTACATTATATTATTCAAAGAACAGAATTTTTTAAAGAAAACAACTAAAATTGTTATAGTTAGAATTTTGACAAGCATATCTCTATATGATTACAATAGCATTTTCTTTTTAAAAATATTTTGATTGGCTCTTTGAAAATTTCACACATGCATACAATATATTTTAATCCTCACCAACCTGTCACTACCTATGGTGCTAACTGACCCCAGAACATCCCCAACAATCTCCCTTCCAACTTTGTGTCTTTTTTAATTACTTTCTCACAGACTCCAATTAGAGTTGGCCTAGTGCATGGGCGTGGCTGTCCACTTGACTCGGAAGGTACACCTACAAAGAAAAGCCACTCACACTCAGAAGTAATCAACTGCCAGTAGCACTTCAGCTAAAGGTTAAGTAAAGCTAAATACTGTAGTAATATTCTTCAGATAATGGAAGTAATTTATTGAAAACATGTGTTTATTATTTTTTATAAGGTAAGTTCTCACTGTATACCACAAGCTGCTTGGAAACCATAATTCTGCCCCATCCACCAACACACTTAGCAGTAACTTACTTATCATAACCACAGATAAACTCTCCTCTGGGTTAAACACAGGCCTGCACAGCCGGCCAACAGAGACAACTATTTCATTTCCATTTTTGTTTTGACCCCATAAAAATCTATTCAAAACATATATATAAAAGGTTCTCTTTTGGTAGCATGGAATATTCTTGATGAATAACTTAACCTTAAATAAATTATCAATGATAGGCTTCTTCTAAAGAACAAAGAGCTGAAATAACCCAAAGTGTTGCACTTTCCCTGCTGAGGGGCATTTAGTCACATAAAGGGAACTCTTTGACCTGGATGGCTACTCAGCTGTCCGGTTTGGGTAGAGGCTGATTCTCTGCTTTTCACTAACAACACTCTTTCATTACAGACAAGCGTAAGAGGGGTTTAAAGTGTACGTGATGGAAAGTGTAGTTAGTGAGAGACCACAGTGGCCATATTCATGGACGCTATCACCCCCAGAAGAGACACTGTGGAACTAGCTATTGGCTGATTTGCATGCAGTTGAAATCTAGACCTTACTTTGACATCTTGCTCTTCACAGATACCTGGAGGTGCATTTTCTCCACTTTTATAATGTGATAACAATTGACTTTCAATAATCAAGAGGCTTGTCTTGAATATTATGAGGTCCCTGTCTTCTGGAGCACTGCTCTGTTATTTCAATAGTATATACTGTTTCACAGCATGTAAGTACCACAAATATTTCCACGAGAGTCTACTATTGACAGAGGTGTGGTAAATAACATGAACAAAATATGAATAAAAACCTTATCACCAAAAGGGAAGTGACAAGCAGGTATTTAGACAACAGGAAATTTTATGAGCTATTTCACCCTGTGTAGAAGATGTTCACGTTACAAAAGGAACACCAGTGGAGTGACTCTCATGTCATCGTTGGTATACAAAGACAGACTTCAGATAGAAGTCCTGCCCTAAGGATGACAGATGATCTCATTCCTGCAAACTACAACTCCAAAGGAGAAAATTGTTTGTGTCTATAGGAAAAGCCACATGGTGAACATGGTAACCACTAAAAATACCAGTGCTTCTATTTGAGTATGATTCAACCATATTCTTTCTAAACTCAAGAGAAGATTTCTCCTATTAAGGCCCACATTTTAAGGAGAAGATCACAGCTTAACCACCCAGAGCCTGCTTGTCCAACCCTTAGCTCTTAAACACCGCTGCTTGGAGGAAAAGATTCAGAAACAGTGCCAACTTGGGAGGAGCATGAAGACCAGCAAAGTAGGTAATAATTACAAATGTGAAATTTCCCATGAATTTTTTAGTACAACACTGTACTTTTATAACACTTTCTGGTGAATATGGAAAGTGTTTTAAGGCAGAGTAAAAATCTGAATGAATTAACAAGTGCTCATTATATTATCACAGAAAAAAAAAACAAAATGAGTGAGCTGATTTCAACTCCCTCGGCATTTAGAATCTCTATGAAAATGTACCAAGCTAAAAATTCCCTTAGTCTAATATTAACACCTGTACTGAATATAACCTGTCAACTACTCAAGTGAGTGCTGAATTAGACACAGGCATTTTTCATCTGTGGTGGCAAATTTTCAATGTTTAAATTGATAGTTAACTATAAAACATTAAGAATTTTATATACAAACATAATGGAAATAACATATTTGTTATTCATTTAAAATGTTATAGATTCAAGAAAATTATGTGGATTTATATTTACTTTATCACAAAGGTTAATTAAACAAATTAAACGTCCTATAAAATCTGTCTACCATCTATCTATCTATCTGAATGTATGTTAGAATGGTTCCTTCTCTCAAGCCAGACCTGGCTTTTACTTCTTTCCCCTCAGCCCTTTAAGTGCTGGGATTTCAGGGATTAAGTGCCTTTCAATATACACAGCCCAAAATGACACTTCTATTCTCTCTTCATATTTCAATAAAATAGACTACTCATATTCATTAATGCCAAATACTATGTAATATCAGTTCTAGTTAAACTCATTTGGAAGATGATGGGTTAGTAGGTTTTCACACAAAAATATCATCATAGAGTCACAGGATGGGGAAAGTCTTATGTACATTTTAGAATCAACACATGCAATATGATATTAATTCTAAAGTACAGATACAACAATAAACAGTTCAAACATTTCTTTAAGTCTTTAAAGTTTTATTTTGCCTAGTGAAACAGTGGGCACATGGCTTTCTCCAGCATGTGCTTCTTGAGAGGTCTTAGGGTGAGTTAACTCTTGGTTGTCAGCAGATACAGAACTGGAGAGTAACGTGAGACATCACAGCGAACATAAAAAATATTTATTTTACATATGTTCTTAATTCACAGTAAAAGGAAAGGAAAGTGATGAAGTTGAATAACAACTCAAGAGCATGATTTATCAGAATGGAAGAAAGATTGCCAGTGTCCCAGGGTCTAAAAAAATCAGAACTATTAAAAGGAATATTGACTTTTTAAGTAAAAATTTGAATAGATGTCATTTTATCCAAGGAAATCTCTTTACTTTTTTTTTTTTTAAGTACGGAAAAGTTCAGTTTCATGGTAGGTATCTATGCTCAAGAGTGATACCATTGCCAAAGATACTGACATCACCAAAGCTGCTTGTGTTTTGCATATACGGTATATGGAAAGCTCAGGGCATTTCCAGAGTCACCACTCCTCTCAAGCCAGAAGTGAGACAAGGTACCGAGGGAGAACTGTCCTCAACTTTCAATGACACAAAAACTTTTGAGTTTAGAAAGCCGAATACTTAATTTTCTGTGAACAAATCAGAAAGTTTCTTGGTACTTCTGTTGGAGCCTTCCCAGCCCTGGTCTCGTCACTTACATCCTGGAGCAGAGTGATTTTGTAGACCCTGTGGTGCAGAGTGGAGACTGAGGCAGAGAATGAGGCTGAGGAGTGGCTAGAGAGAAGCCGAACAATGCTCGGAGCGCTCTGCCACAGTGAGATTTCTGAGACTTAGAAAGCGTCGCATGATTGGCTTAAAGTTTATGGGAGGGAAAAGAGCAACTGGCAGTGATGACACTTTGTGGGATAGCTGGGGAAATGAGAGGAACTTGAAGCAGCTAATAGTCTTCTCCACAAGGAAAGTTGAAGATCACATGCTAAGAATTACCTTACTGGATCTTTTCCAACTCTTCCTCCTTAGCATAGTCTGTGAATGAAATAAAGCACTTCATTATCTTTCATCCAGCACAGAGCAGGGCAGCCTTGTTTTTAGGGAATATGTAACATTTATTAGTCCGTTAAATAGCAAAATGTTTCCAGCAATAACTACACAAGACTGCTTCACAGACACACACACAGAAACACACACACACACAGACACACACACAGAAACACACACACACACACAGACACACACACACACAGACACACAGAAACACACACACACACACAGACACACACACAGAAACACACACACAGACACACACACAGAAACACACACACACACACACACAGGGAGGGAGGGTGAACACTCAAGCAGTTTCTTTCTGGTTTAAAGATCACTTGCATTATTCTTTGTATGAAGAGGCGAGGCAGTATATTTTAAGTATAGTGGAATGTTTGGAATTGAAATTAGTTCATTCTAAAGCAAAAATACAAGATGAGTTTCATGATTAATAATTGTCCTTTTTGGAGGTGAGGGTTGAGGGTACACCATGACTTAATTGGGCATATAGCATTTTTTCTTCAACTTATATCTAAGGCCTGTTGCTTTGGGCATATATTAGAGACATTTATAGAGTTAGTTATTTTTAACTAAATCCTTGTCTACAATGTTTCCAACTCAGGAAAAGGCTGCTTAATTGTTTGTTTGTTTTTTTTTTCTAAAATATATCCTTTATAATACTGTTTCTGTCACAGTGAGAGGTTGGCTTGGCTAAATGTCTTAATTAAACTTCTGGAGATTTGTTACAAGTGCTTAAGATTACTGGTCTCTTGTATTTGCATAAAGTAAAACACAAAGCTTCCCAAATTTAAATAATTCTCACATTTACTATTAAGCATTGCCCTTAAGCACTATATAAACTTTACTCTTTGCCCTACCATGCCATATGGTTGTGGTTGAGACAAATAAAGAGGAAAGTAGGGAATGTTTGGGGGAAAGACTGTGGCTTCTGTGTTAGGGGCGACATCAATGTCAAGAGATCCGTCTCTTTCATCAGAATGCACTATGAAGAAGGTCCATTCTTGAAAGCACTCATGCCTTGTTAAAATACATGATAAAAAGTACTTTCTCATAAGACGAAGTCCTCCTTTGACCTGAAGTTGGAAAATGGAATTATGTAGCAACTTTAGAGTAGGAAATAGGAGAATTGTAACATTCACAAAAATATATGCTTTTATTTTCTCTATTGACCCAAACATGAAAGAATGATGTATTTCCAAAGGTTATAAAAATTCACCTCCCTGATTTTCAAAGAAAGAACAAAATGGTGTTACCAAATACTAAAAAAAAAAAAAAAGATAGATTATATTTTCTAAGTGCTAAGGTATAATTCAGTTTGTAGCAACACATCCAACTATTAGTTTGGAAGGAGACATGGTGAACACCTAATAGACTATTGATGCTGGATTATTGCTATTGATGTTAGGTGAATGATTGTCATCACCACTGACCCTCACCAAAAAAAATAACACGATCACCTCCTCCATATCACCAAAGGTCATGTGTAACCAAATTCTTCAGTGGTAGGTCAGATCTACAAGAGATCCCCAAGCAAGTGTCCCATGATAAAGGTTTGACTTTGTCAGAAAACAGAATCTCAGTGCATTTGATCATGGCAATTTTGAGTCAAAACAAATGAAAACAATTAGAATAAAGAAATAAAGATTAAAATACCTTAATTAGTGGTTATTTATTAATACCATTAAGCATCTAAGGATCTTATAAAATCAGTTCCATAAGAAGTATTAGGCTGTGAAAGTAGTAAGAAGTGTGGACTCTCATGGAAAAACTTGACAACATTTAGGGACATGTGCTTCTGGACAGAGTAACAGAAGCAGTGCACACAGTAACTTCTGAGCTAGAAAACAAAACAAAACACAGCTCTGGCTTTTGATGTCTCTCAAATTTTGGTGGTATTTTTCAAACAGGGAAGCTGAAATGAGAACAACAGCATGATTTGGCAGCTACAGGTCCAGTTCATTCTCCCGAATCAGTATCAAGAGTTCTGCTATAGATCAAGTGACTGTCAAAATGGCCCCAAATTTTATAACAAAAGTTCTGCCTTGTTAGCTTATCAACTGGTTAAATATCACACACAAGTTTTTTCTTCTTTTTGCGATACTTGGGTTAAGGAAGGCTCAATTATAGTAATTCAGTAGAAAAGTCAAAATAAAAACAAATGAAGTTGAGATGGATTATTATTCTTGCCATCTTTCCTACTATGAGATCTATTAAAGAAGAAAGGTTATTTGGGGGAATGTTAAGAATAAAAGACAAAGTAAATACTAGAAATATAAGATTTAAATCTCATTCTATGGTTGTACTTCAGCAGAGAAACATATGAGTTAGGTTTCAAGGTGTCAGTGCTTATTACTAGAGCACCATTTTGGTTCTTCATTAGCAACTCAGTCTTATTTGAAGCCTAAATAAGAAATAAGTGACATCAAAAATGTGGCCAATGATAGAATTGTAAAAGCAACTTCTTTAAAAAGATTTAAAATTCAATTTTAACTTTCTTTTGTTAGAATTTTAGCCTATTATTCTGCTAATATGCATATGAAAAAGCACAAATAGTACACAATCTTACAGAACATATACAGTCAACAATTCATAAATAAACATGTCTTCAAACATTGTATAAAAGTTATAAAACATCAAAATTAAACTAAAGTATAAAAATTGTTTGTTTTTAACACATCAAAGGCCATTTAGTATTAATTCATATGTTTCTGGGGATTTTCTAATTTTCAGCCCTAGCCAAGCAATGTGTTTATGTTATCTAAGAGAGCATGTAACACAAATGAACTCACTTTTATGTCACAAATTCTCCAATGAAGAAAGCTGTGGATTGAACTCTGCTAGAAAAAGAGCCAGAAAGAACTCAAACATACTGTCAAAATCGAACACACATGTATGTATTACATACGTTTGCAGGTTCAAAACAGGACATGCAATCAAAACAGAAATGATAGTGTGCCATGCAGCCACCTCGTGCTGCCCATGGAGACTTTGGCTTCTTATACACACGATGCTGGGGACTCAAAAATAGACATACACATATTTGTTCACATCTGGAAATTCTAAAAATACATCCAATTGTGTACTCATGCTGATTTTTATATTGGCAATGACAAAATACATTTGCTCGCTGTCTTTCCATGCATCTTAAATTGCTGTAATTAGATGCTATGTGTTGATAAAGTTTTAGTAAGTGGGATGATAGGCTATTGAAGTTATTCTTTGGATTAACTGATTTCCAGAAGTGGCAATCCACACAAGAAGAAACCACATTATTCGTGGAGTGCATTGTCAGCATGTAACAGTGTCTCCCGAATTTACAAAAGAGGTGGTTTGGAAGTCTTAGGTCTCTATGATACTAAGCATTCTGTACTTCCAGTTCTTCCTTACTGTAAGTATTCCACTTCCTACTTGACTGTTAGAACATATTTATTAAGGCTTTTAAAACTCATCTCACCCTTTGTTCATATTAATTATGTAAAATATTTAGCATAGTTTTATAAACAGATAAAAATATGTGTGGTTGTAGAACTAAGTTTCTTTTCCAAAAGCCTAAATTAAATTATTTCTGAGCTACTAAGCAAAGAGAACCTCTTGTGTTGCTGTGTGTGGAGGAGCAGTATCCTCCATTCTCTCATTACACACCATTCCCACTGACAAAGACCATAAGGCATTCCACCACTGACAGTTACAGGATTTGAGTCTGAATTCTTTTCTGAATAAATTGTTCTATGTCAATAAATGTTCCTGTGTAATTTGTGCAAGAATAGCATGTCAATTTCACTGAAGTGGTATGTTCTATATTCAAAGTGTGGGGAAATTGAAGTTGAAGATATATTAGATTTTTGATTGTTCTTAAACAAGAAATGGCAAATGTGTCCCAGAATATACTTTGCTAATATGAGAACAATACAGCTAAGCATTTAAACAGTAATTTTACGAATTTACCATAGGGAGGTAGATCATTATTTAATCATGACATAATGGAGTTTATAGCAACCACAATGACTTGGCTATTAAAGTTAGAATAAAAATTACTTGAGAATGCCCTCCCTGCTCTTTGAAGTATCCCTCTAAATTATCACAGACACACCTCTGCAACACTGAACAGCCACTAGGTATAGGGTGCTAGACTAGGTTATTTTACAGACTTACAGATGTACTATTATATGTAATATATGTAATAAAATGTACCTTATACATATGCCCCTCCTCAAGAGGAGAGTGTCTAAGATGGAGCTGAGACAGATGACACAATGACAGATTGGAGGTAAACTGGGGAGTTTCAGTGACCAGAAGTCACAAGTGAGATAATACATGCTGCTGTTGCAAAGGTGTTTATGGGAGTTTCCATTTATTGTCGGAATAGCTATTACAACAGTAAAAAAGTTAACAGGTTTCAAGAACCATGGTAGATAAGCAATAATAATTTTTTTAATTCATATACAAAGTATACACATTTATAAATCTTGGGATGTTTATGTAACTATATATATATATATATCATTGTTGAAATCAGCATATCTATCTCTACAAACAGCTATCATTTGGTGGAATATTTAAAATCCTTTCTCTTAGCTTTCTAAAGTGTGCAGCACATTACTAATTGTTACGTCACCCTACTTAGTACCACTCCACCAGAAGTACTTGCTCCAAACTGTCTCTTTCTCACTAACTAATCTTTTCCATCCTTCTCGCCCAAGAGTTGGTCCCAGTCTCATGGAATCACTGCCGTACTCTCCAGTTCTATGAGACAAACTTGAGTGATTCTAACCAAGAGTGGGATTAGTATGTGTTCCTCATCTCCATTATTGTCCAGTTCCATCTACATTACTGTAAAATCCTGGACTTCATCCTCTTTGGAGTTGACTGCTATTCCACTGTAATTATTTTTTAAAAATATAGATGCTTACTTGTGAATTTTAAAACTTAGAAAGTACTGTTGATAAATATAACTGGATATAAAGAGCTTGAAAAGATATCAATAGAATAACTTTTTAGGTAAAATAAAAAGCAAAATCTCAAAAATTTCTATGCATTTATAGGCATACACTTAGAAACTAATATTTCAACATAACAGGATATTAGAATACCTGGAATACTAGATCCCAGTAGACTTTCCAATTTTCTCTGTTTAGCTTTTGTCCATCCCCTATCTTGCTCCTGTAGTGCCAACCAAATGCCTTTTTGCTGATCACAACCATGAGGATAAGTTAGAAACTCCTCTTCCTCCTGAAGTATGACCAAGGTCGAGGAGTGTCTCAGCCAGAGGCTGACATTGGTGCTTCCCTGGAGCCCTGGTTGAGTTCTGCCTGAGACATTTGTTTCTCTGAAGAGATAAGGGGCCAGGGGAATTAGTAACAGGATAGAAGAATGCACTATTTCCCAAGTGTTCAGCAGAAAAATCCAACACAAATGGAGATGCTGAAAGTAGAAGGCATGGAGTAAGGCAGTGAACGAAGACCGCAAAGAAATTAATTACTCAAACACAAATAGTCAAAGTAATTTGAGTTATGGAAATAGCATGAAAACTGTCATGTCAAAAGTGAAAACAATGAAGAGGAAGGAAACGAAATTGAATGGGATTTTGATCAATAGCTTTTCTATTACTCATTGATTTCCTTCACATTCATGTGTAAGAAGTCACTGACAGTCAGCTCTTAGTCGCTACATTTTTTTTTCTAGTTAGAAATATTTGGCATCTATGATGTAAGTTTGGGCAGTCACTGAGGTTGGTTGAAATAATGTGAGAAGGTCTTTGTCAATGCTCACATTTCATTCGAAATCAGGAAAACTCAGTAGCTTCTTGGTTGATAGGTTGATAACTAACTCAGTCAATCCCTTGAGCCCTCAGGCTGATGCTAGGGTATTTAAAATGGTTCTTCTAATGGAGAAACTCTCCTGAATATCCATCGCACAAATGACTAGAACAGCAGCCACACCATCTAAGTCTCTAGTATTACTTAAAGTGTGTGGTTCATGGATACATGGGACTTTGGGCAGCAGTTATCTTTATTTATGAAGTGCTGTCCTGAATTAAATAGCAAAAAACACCAACACAGGAATATTCTATCACCAAATTTTCTTGACTTGTTTTTAACCTCTTACAGGCAAGCCTGCCAATCCCCCCATCTCCCCTGAGCGCTCTATTTGGAACCTTGTCACCCTTCACTTAGGCTATGCACAGTGGCTTCCAAACTGGTCTCCAGGCCTCTATTCTCCTTCCTTTAATGCATTTTCTATAATGTATGAACAGAGATAAGATTATTTTACAGGCAAATAAAATTATGTCATTTCCCCTTTGCAGACCTTGTCATAATTTTTCCTTGCTATTTGAATGAAGGTCATACATCTGTGGTCCAGGCATCTCCCTTGCACCCTCTATCATGGAGCATGGTTGCCACAGGATCTGCTTCTATCCTCAGTAAGCTCCACTGTCTCTTCAGTTCTTGGAATGCAGTGTGCTTTTCCAGCCACAGGGCCTTTGTATGTTTTCCTTCCTCTTCCTTAACTACTTCTCTTCACAGATTTTGTTTCTTCCTAATTCCTATCGATAGTTCTCACCTCAGTTTCCATGTGACTTCCTTAGAAAATCCTAGGCCCACATTGATTGAAACAAATTTCCTAGTTTTGTTTGTTTTCCCAAAACAGTGCCCTTTTTTCAGAACACCAAAGTACTTGTCACCTTCTGCTTCTCTCAGTGAGTCACTGGACTAACGTTCTAATTTGTGCTAAATGTCGGCATAGGAACTGCGTAGGCTTCTAGTGATCATCTGAATTCTTTACATTATAAAATGAACATTTAGAATGTTCTTCCTAGTTAAGATCCAGTCAACTCAAATTTACTTCCTGATTTGTTGTACTGGTGACTTTTAACTGATGGGCTTTTTCTGTAAATGGCAGAATTTTTTTTTTTAAAGATTTATTCATTATGTATAGTGTTCTGTCTGTCTGTATGCTTGCTGGCCAGAAGAGGGCACCTGATCTCATTACAGATGGCTGTGAGCCATCATGTGGTTGCTGGGAATTGACTCAGAACCTCTGGAAAAGCAGTCAGTGCTATTAACCTCTGAGCCATCTCTCCAGCCCCAATGGAAGAATTTTTTTAAGCAAGTTTTTCTTCAGCTGTCCTGCTATCTCCATGTGAGTACTCACCTAGCTTTACATGTTCTCACAGCAGGGCTCTGTGTACTCATTCACAGAATATTCTCACATGAGGGCTATGTGTACTCATTCACACTGTGTTCTCACAGCAGAGTTATGTGTACCAATTCACACTGTGTTCTGACAGCAGGTCTGTGTGTACTCATTCACACCTTGTTCTCTCAGCAGGGTTGTGTGTAATCATTCAGATCTTGTTCTCAGAGCAGGGCTGTGTGTACTCATTCACACCGTGTTCTCACAGCAGGGCTTTGTGTATTTATGCACACCATGTTCTCACAGCAGGGTTGTGTGTAATCATTCACACCATGTTCTCAGAGCAGGGCTGTGTGTACTCATCCAAACCGTGTCTTCATAGCACTGCTGTGTGTACTCATTCACACCATGTTCTCAGAGCAGGGCTGTGTGTACTCATTCACACTGTGTTCTCACAGCAGGGCTTTGTGTACTCATTCACACCGTGTTCTCATAGAAAGGTTATGTGTACTTATTCACACGGTGTTCTTACAGAAGTGCTGTGCATAATCAGTCACAGCAGGCTATATTCCTCCTCAGCTCCCACTCCATCTGCACACATGTATATCCAGTCACACCATTCTGTGTTCTCACAGTGGGTGTATACTCTGCTATACCATGTTCTCATAGCAGGTGCTATGTGTATTCAGCCACACTGTGTCACATTCCTCCTTGAATGCCACTCCATCTGCACACATGCATATGCAGTCACACCATGCATGTTCTTCCTCAGCTACCTCCATCTGCACATATGTAAATGCAGTTACACCATGCCATGTTCTTCCTCAGCTACTTCCATCTACATACATGCATATGCAGTCACACCATGCCATGTTCTTCCTCAGCTACTTCCATCTGTTCACATGTAAATGCAGTCACATCAACCCATGTTCTCACAGCAGGAGCTATGTATTAAGACTTCTTAATATTTGGAAAGGTTCATTTTTCTCACTAAATAAAGTTTTAAAATAATACACATGACCTTGTATGCCACTGTATAACTTTTATGGATAGAAAGAAACTCTTCATAAAGGAGTAAATATTTTTCTGGTGAGTTAAAGAAAAACTTCAAGTTTTGAAGTTGGGATCTACGATTTTTAGCCACAATCCTGATTAAAATGTCAACAAAATCTTTGTAGTAGATGATATACACCAAGCTGACTGTAACATTATTCTAAAACAGGAATATAGGTATTGCTGAAAGGGCCTTTGGGCACCCCTAACAGTTATAGCTACTACTAAATCACACCAGAGCTACAGTAGTTCCTAGGCATATACGAATATTGAGCCTAACAATCAATCTCTGGCAAACTGTGGCAGAATTACACCAGCCAGCACACCAGTGTGAATCCCTGGTACACTGGCAGGCACACCAGTGTAAATCCCTGGTGCACTGGCAGGCACACCAGTGTGAATCCCTGGTACAGTGGCAGGCACACTGGTGTGAATCTCTGGTACACTGGCAGGCACACCAGTGTGAATCCCTGGTACACTGGCAGGCACACTGGTGTGAATCTCTGGTACACTGGCAGGCACACCAGTGTGAATCCCTGGTACACTGGCAGGCACACTGGTGTGAATCTCTGGTACACTGGCAGGCACACCGGTGTGGATCACACCTGATACTTTTTCAGGTTACTTCAACAGTGCAGGAGTCTCAGCTCCCTGTGTACTCACTGTTTATTTCTCAGAGCAGTATGGTGTGTAAGGAAGTACAAATAGCTAGTGCTGAGGTATGGGGTGTATCACTATGGAAACCCATCAAGGACATGAAGAGTACACACTTACTCAGTTAACAACCACCAGAAAGCAGAAACTCTGTTATAATGTCACCTTAGTTTCCTTGTCATGACACATTTTGGCAATATGATCAAAAGAGTAGAGTCATGAATATCTTATTAGGAATTCAAGTCACTAATCAATATATTCCCTGAAAGAATATTAGTATTTACCTACAATATAACATGTCTAAAATTAATAAAATTATAAGGGGTTTAAATTTACTTATTTACAACAAGAGGTTCTGATCTGGAGCCTGGGACAGGAAATTGGAGTGGGAAAGGCAAAATGAACAAGATGGGAGCTTCCCAGGGTGCTCACAGCTAGAGTTCCACGTGCATCTGCATCTCATTATCCCTCTATGCCCTGAGGAGGATCTCAGCACTGAGCACGTGGGAGCAAGAAGAGCTCCAGAAGACTTACCACATCCCTGGGTTCACCTTCCTTAGGGGTAAGGATGACTGACAGCAAGATGATTCCAAGGTCATGGTCGGGATAATGGGGGTCTTTCAGAGTTAAGGTCACATCCGTGGACCTGTGATATAAAGTATTCAGATTGGGAATAGTCATTGAATGCATTACCCCCAAATTAATTTAATCAGTAGCTCATTGTTATAAGAAATGTTTTGCTCTTTTGATTTCTTAGTACAATTTTTGTTGTTATCAAAATACCACCATTGTATTAAATCATTCAATGAACGGTATGTCCATGGAAGTGCCTGGATTCATTGGGTAAATTTCTACCACAGACCAGTCCAAGAGAGGGAGGAGTGATAAGACGAGCAAAGGGGTCAGGACCACGATGGTGATAAACAGCTGAGCTGAGCTGGTGAGCGCTCACTGACTCTGTACTGACAGCGGGGGAACCTACACAGGACCAAGCTAGGCCCACCGAATGTGGGGACAGTTGTGAGGCTTGGGCAGTCTGTGGGGTCACTGGCAATGGGACCAGGCTTTATCTCTAGTACTTTAGCAACACATTCATTTTGGCGGGTACCTTGCTCAGTCTAGATCGGGAGCAGGGCGTTGGTCTGGCCTCTAAGTGAAGTGTCAGACTCCCCATAGGAAGCCTTACCCTTCCTGAGGCATGGATGGGGGCTGTAGGGAAGGGTGAAGTAGGGGAGAAAGTCAGAATGGGATAACTATGTAAAATGCAAAAAGATTGTATTAAAAATTCTTAATAAAAATAAAATAAAAATATTATGTCATTTAGTTTAAATAATACTCCTAAAGAGGGAAATATCTATAGTAAATTTTTAAAAATACATTAAAATCTAAGTTAACAAGGAATATATTCTTCTAAAACATTAATTGCTATCAAGTTATTAAACAATAAATGCTTATACAAGTGACAGAAAACAACTGTGACATATCAAATTAAATACATATTGGGGAGTATTTTATCATTAAAGAAAAAATGATTTTCCTCTCCCAGAAGCTATCAAGTGCCAAGTTTCTCATTTCATGTTTGGTTTTGTCACGTGCCTCCCCCTTTATACTTTTTTCTTTTTTTTCTTTTGCTAGCTAGTCAAACTGGGTGGCTACGTGTACAAGACTAAAACTAGATTATTATTATTTTCTTTTGAGGACATACCCCAATACACTTATAGCAGCACATATTTACATGCCTATTATTAATATTCATTTTGAAAAGCTGAAATGGCATACTAATGCTTGTGAGGCCACAAAGTGGTACTCTGATGTGTATGTGGCCTTAGGGTGCTGGTGGCTAATGAGTTACCCAAAATAAACAACATAGTTAAGTATACATGAAATTTTTGCTTATATCTTTGTTTGTTTAATTGCACAATTCTTCATTTAAAATTATTTTCACCAGTGATTTATTTTTAAAAGGAAACAAGAGAAAGTTATGCTTTAAGTCTTACATTTTGCATAGACTTAATCAGAGGCTTATAGCAAATGTAATTGTAGCCTTTGAAAGGAAGAGCAGAATCCATTTGGTTTTGTATCAGTGCTCGTGATAACAGAACAGACAACACTGTTCAGAACATTTCCTCAAAGTGGGGAAACCAGCAGTCACCTAAAATCTACCCTCAGGTTGAACCAATGTTAGAATCGACGAACTGTAGGAAGGCAGCAAAGGCTGGTTTTTTTTTTTTTTTTTTTGTTCCACCCGATACAAAAGCAGCAAATCACCAATCAGTTAGTCTTTGGGAGGTGAATACTCTGTCCGGTGCTCAATTAGCTTACTGTAGCATTGAAAGAGGCTCTCCCATGTACTTTCATCTGTTTATCTGTAGTCATATAAGAAGGAAACAGGGGTCTTCCCCATGACATTACTTTCCCGTTTCCCTATAACCTGATGTAACATGATCACCCAAGAAAGGAGTTCCATTTACAACTATCAAATATTTAATTTTGAAACCTACTTTTTCTCTCTCTCTTTTAGCCAGTTTTTAGTTCCTTTGACAAAATGCATTTTGAAAACCCCATGCCCATTGTGAGGGGCTTAGACTGAGTACTGTTAGTAAACATATATAATTTTGCAGGTTGTCAAGATAATGAAACTAAGCAGAAATAACCAATCTACCTCTACTACTTGGTACCCTATATCTGGCAATCTGGTGAAGGCTAAAGTCGGTTCTATCCTAGTTTAAGCGATGAGAAATTTGTTGTTTTTGAGGCAAAGTATGTAGCCACTTGCTTCTTTAGTAATAATTACAATCTTTATGCCAAATCCCAACTAAACTGTGTGAGATTAAGGAATGTATCTTTTCTCTTTTAGCATGGTGCTCGGGGACGGGGAAGCTAGCCAATAATACTTTATAAGAAAATAGTTGCTATTGAATGAGGAAGTTAGGGAAAACATTGGAAGTCCAAGGATAAGTGGAAAAGGGTGAGAGTTGGAAGAGTCCGAGCTGGTGACAACAGGACACTGTCAGGAATCTGTACTGACTGGTGTTTCCTGCTTCACAGGCCAACATTGGCATGAGGCAGAGCAATGTTACAACTTTTGAGAATTACCTGCTTAACTCCAGCTGTGTGAGATCGAGAAAGGCTGAGCCCATAAAGTCATCTTGCAGCCCAAAATCATAGTCAAATACCTAAGAGGCCAAAGAGACAAAACATTTTGAAATAATTTCAGAAAAATATTTAAAAGAAACATATAATTTATAAGAACTGGCTATCTCTTCCACCAAAACAATCTCCTGATATACTTTTTAAATTTTATTTGTATTCTTTGGGAAGTTAAAATTTCATAACATTCAAGTAAACTATATGTTTATTTAATATTTATTAAATCATTTTATTTGCATTAGCAATAGAAGTTTAGAGAAGAGGTAACAAAATCAAATTAAATATAATGAATATTTAAAAGTATGGGAATCACGGCTTAGAATACTTTTTTAAAATTATAATAGAGGAAATAGCATCAATCATAGAACCAAAGTAACTTAGGATTACATTCAACAAACACATCTTTTGTTGGGAATGAGACTCAATAAATACATCTTCTGTTGGGGATGGGACTCAACAAACACATCTTCTGGCTGGGCGATGGTGGCGCACGCCTTTAATCCCAGCGCTCGGGAGGCAGAGCCAGGCGGATCTCTGTGAGTTCAAGACTAGCCTGGTCTACAGAGCTAGTTCCAGGACAGGCTCCAAAGCCACAGAGAAACCCTGTCTCGAAAACAAACAAACAAACAAACAAAATGCAAACACATCTTATGTTGGGAATGGGACTCAACAAACACATCTTCTGTTGGTGGTGTGTGGTTGGAACATGACGTTAATTTGTTATTCATGTTTTAAGGTAACTAAAGATAAATTATTCGATATAGAAAAATTTAATCTTGGCACACAAATAAATAAGGGTACAGATATTATGGCTACATAACTTTGTAACGTTATATTAAGGTAACACCTAATTAACCTTTTGTGTTATTGGAGACAATTCTTTTGTTGTTTGTTTGTTTTGTCTTCAAGACAGGATTTGTCTATATAACAGCCCTGGCTGTCCTAGAAGTCTCTTTGTAGACCAAGCTGACCTGGAACTCACAGAGATCTGCCTGTCTCTGCCTCCCAAATGCAGGGATTAAAGGCATGCACCACTACACCTGGCTATTGGGGAAATTTTTTATTAAAAAATAAAATTAAAAAAAAGAACATGTTTCTTTCTCTGCCCACACTATTCAGAGTTACATATTTAAGTACTAAGATAGTCAGTGAATACATAGACCAATACAGTTCAATGATGATCACAATGAGCAGTAACAGAAGTTACAAGGGACATGAGGGGCTACTCTATGTGGGAGACCAGAATGGTCTCTAGGGAGGTAATTTTTGTATAGAACTGATTGAAAGGAAGGATAGTCACACTAATACAGGGAAGATGTGCCAGTCAGAGGAAACATCAAGAGAAGGACTGAAGTTTTTAAGGATCAGCAAAAAGCCAATGTCATTAAGTCACAGCAAGAAAGTTGGGGAATGGAAGAAGGTTAAAGAGGTATCTCAAGGCGACTAACATAATTAATGCTGATAGTTTAGTGAGCGAAATGGATGTTAAGCATGAAAATGTATAGGTGATTTGTGATTATACATTCTGATGTGCTTTAAATGGGACAACAACAACGAAAACCAACCAAACAAACAAAAACAACAAAACAAAGGGAACCCAGGGAAAGGTTGTGAAACAACAACCAACCATGAAGCTACCCAGAGAGGTTTAGAGCTGTGTTGCCTAATCTGTTTAAAACATAAAATGTTTGAGCACTGGAAAAGGGTAAGTCTCTTTCCGAATGGATGACCCAACCCACTGGACTCTTTAGGACTCGATACTCAGTGAGTCAGAGAGAATGAATATCTAATCCTTGCTATGACAATAAATGGGAGCACCAGGCACAGCAGTCCCCAGTCTACTAGTGGTTTCACCTAGTACAGGTGCACTTCAGTTAAAAGCAACACAACTAAATGTGCAAAAAGTTGATTTTTAAACAAAAAGATAAATACTTTGCATTATGAAAAGAGTCTCAGAATTGAGGAGTTGTGGGAATTTAGTTAGGTAGTTAGGGCTTCCTACTGTCTCTTTATCATTCAGTTTGCAGTTGCTTGATTTCATACACACACTTTCAGAGTTCATTTACTGTAGAAGACATTCGAGCTCACTTACACTTCTGAGCTTCTGCTACCTGCTCCATGGGCATCCATGAAAAGACTACATGCCTTTGCCATATGACACTGTTCTACTTGCAGGTGGCCACAGTAGCACATTTATAACATAAAGACATAGGAAAATTTCTCATGAAATCTCAATTATGTTATTCTCAAGCTTGTAAGCTTGGTGGCATCATACAAGGTGGAAAACAATTAATATAGAGACTGAATTACTTAAATTCTATCACATTGGGCTATTTAACATTGAATCTCTCCTTACCATAATCGCCAGAGTCTTTCTATTGATAGAATGTTAGAGATTTGCTTTAGTTCTCAGTTCCCATAAAACAGAAAGACATAAACATGGGTAAATGGAAATGCCAGAGTACATTTATTATTGAAGTCATTAGCTATGGTACATGGTTCTAAGTTCTACAAATTTTTGTTAGAGGGAGAATTGCTCTGGGTATATCTTCAAAAATATAGAGCATAGGAGAGAGAATAAAATAGAAAAGCCATGTCCCATTACAGCATCAACAAGAATAACTAACATTTATTCAGCAATTACTGTAACTTAGAACCTGTTATAAATACACTGATTTTAAATTTGAAGCCATTTTCATAGCCTAGTTATTAAGATATTGCTTGAATTTTTCAGGTAAAGAATTTGAAAACATTTATTTCACATCAAATTTGAGGGCTAGGAAAGAGTAAGATTCAAATCTTGTTTTAAGCTTCAAAACATATAAGCATGTTTAAGTTCAATGTATATAGCATTGGTGCACCAACCTGAGGTGCACCAATTGAATTGGAAATTCAAACTTAAATGATTTCGCAGGACCTGTTTGTCAAGACATCTCTGTTTTCTGAGTTGGAAACATTAGGTAGCATTAGGCTAGAAACTGTTTTGGTAATATTTTTGATCATCTTAAAGTATATTTAAAACAATAAATATATCACATGAACGATGAATTTACTACCAACCACGAAAAATTGTTGGAAGTGTGTATCAGTGAAAACACTTTTGAACACCAGTCATACATCTCAACTCACTTCTTTTAATGTCAATATGAACTTGTGAGTTCAAGTGGCTTCATGTCCACAGGCAATTATGGCTTCAATGGAGCTTAATCCTGAAAATTCCAATGGTTTATATCTTTATTCATTTATTTATTTAAAAAATACCGAGTGAATTCTTTCATAGGAACAGATTCTGTTCCAGTCATTTGAAATGTTAGTAGTAATGAAATTAAATGTTTGATTTCTTAAGCTTCTGTAATGGGGAAGTGATAAACAAAACCTGCAATAAATGTATGTACCTTGTACTAACCAGTGCAGTAGCAAGAATGGCCAGGGAGTGGTATCCTGGGAGGTTTTACAACAGAAGGACAAAGAACCAAACCAAAGGTCCATGGTTTAAACTTCTTTCTATCCCCCAGTTCAAAACCCCTCCGTGTCATGTGTTAACCCTTGCTTCCATGTGTTAACAACCTCTTGACCCTAAACTCACGCTAGGAGCTCCAGAGTTAAAGGACTATTCACTCACATCCAGCCAGTGTGGAAGCAGGAGTTGTTTCGTGCAAGAATTCCAAATTCACACAGATGGGCCAGCACATGTCCCATGCCTATTCTTGACTGAAGATCCAGGATTAAGTGAAAGGCTAATTTACGTTTTGTGCTTTATTTATTCCTTAAACACCATATTTATTTAATTTTTTTCATGCAATATATTTTCATCATGTTTCTCCTCCCCCAACTCCTCCCAGATCTTTCCCACCCTACTTAATGCTTGTTCTCAAAAAATAAAAGTAAAACCATACAACACACAAAAATTAGTAAACAAATACTCAAAAGACCAATAAAGCAAACTAACAAGATACCCAAACAAATCAAAATGAAACAAAAAGTCCACAAAACAAACAACATGAGCTTCATTTCAAGTTAGCCAATCACTCCTGGGCATGAAGCCTACTTTGAAGTTGATATATCCAGTAACACTTGAAGGGAGAAAACTAATTTCCCTTTATCAGAAGATCTCTGCAAAGAGCTTCATGTTAAGGGGTGGGGCACCGTGTCTACTTCTTCCCATCAGCCCTGGGACCCTGTCTGGCTTGAATTTGTGAAGGTCTTATGAACACTGGCACCATCTCTGTGAGTTCAGGTGTGCATCAGTCCTGCTGTGTCTGGGAGACTCTGTTTCCTTGGAGTCATCCATCGCCTGGCTTATTATAATCTCTCTGTGCCCTCTTCCACAGAGATCCCTGACATTTAAGAAGGAGGGGTTTGATGACAATACTCCATTTAGGACTGAGTGTTCCATAGTCTCTCACACTGCACACTGTCTAGTTGTGAATCTCTGTGAGTTTCCATCTACTGCTATAAGCTTCTTTAGTGAGGAGTTGGTCCAGTGATTCCTCTTTCTGATGGTCAGGTGTTTCTTGTATACACCAGGAAGATGGATCCTATTTTCTGATCAAATTTGTCTGGGTCTTTTGGTTAGGGGATTCAGAACATTTATATTTAGTTATTAATGAACAGTGTTCATTTATTCCTGTTATTTTGTTGTGGCAGTGTGAGTTTACTTGCTAATTTTGATTTACTATCCTTAGATTAATTATTCTCTGTGTTCTCTTGGGTGTGGTTAACCTCTTGATGCAAAAGTTTTCCTCCTAGTGCCTTGGGTAGACCTAGATTTGTCAATTCAAACTGATTTATCATTCAAGATTTTTCTTTCTCCATTATGGCTGATAGTTTTGCTACATATACCAGTTTGGGCTGGCATCTGTGGTCTCTCAGAATTTGTAGAACATCTACCCAAGTGGTTCTGGTTTTCAGAGTTTCCACTGAATCAGGTGTTATTTTAATGTGCCTGCATTTATACATGCCTTGGTCTTTTCCCTTGAATCTTTTTAATATACCTTTTTTTTGTTTTATACATTTAGTGTTATAGTTACGACATTCTGTAGAGAATTTTGTTTCTGGTACTGGATGTGGGATTCCCCTCTGTATGCTGTGAATACCATTGGTTAGTAGAGGACTGCTTTGGACCTGTAGCAGGGCAGAACTTAGCTAGGTGGGGAAAACTAAACGGAATGCTGAGAGGAAGAAGGCAGAGTGAGGGAAAAGCCATGGAGCTGTCGCCAGAGACAGATGCACTGAAACTTCGTTGGTAGGTCATGACCTTGTAATGATACACAAATTCATGAAAATGAGTTAAATTAAGATGTAGAGCTAATAGGCCAAGCAGTGATTTAATTAATGCAGTTTCTGTGTAATAATTCCGAGGCTGAGCAGTCTGTAAACAAGCAAGAGACCTCCTTTATTATTTTGAGGTATGCTCCTTGTATCTACATTCTTTCCAAGACCTTTAATCATGAAGGGGTGTTAGACTTTTTAAAAGGCTTTTTCAGCATTTAATAAAATGATAATGTGACATTTTTTTCTCTCAATTTGTTTATATGGTGGATTACATTGACAGATTTTTCAAATGTTGAAGCATCTCTGCATCTCTGGGATAAAGCCTACTTGGATGATCTTTTTGATGCATTCTTGATTCTATATGCAATATTTTATTACTTTTGCACCTATTTTCATGAGAAAAATTGGTTTGTAATTCTCTTTGTTTGTTGAATCTTTGTGGGGTTTGGATATCAGAGCAACTGTAGCCTCATAAAATTAATTTGGCAATATTCCTTCTATTTCTATTTTGTGAAACAATTTGAGGAGTACTGGTATTAAGTCTTCTTTGAAAGTCTGATAGAATTCTGTACAAAAACCACCTTGTCCTGGGCTCCTCCTCCTCCTCCTCCTCCTCCTCCTCCTCCTCCTCCTCCTCCTCCTCCTCCTCCTCTTCTTCTTCTTCTTCTTCTTCTTCTTCTTCTTCTTCTTCTTCTTCTTCTTCTTCTTCTTTTTCTTCTATCCTTATCTTATCATCTATCATTAAAGTAGCCTCTAGAACTTGCTTAGAACAAGGACTTTAGATATGACAACTATGGTCAGTGAGGCCAGAGCTGGCAGACAGAAAAGGTGGTGTTTTATTTGGGCTAATATATACCAACAGCATTAGATTTTTGTCAGTGCAAACATGTGGCATCTTCTATACACATTTCCAGAAATAAACTGTCAAAGTAGTGAGTGTTGCTACCTTGAACCTAAAATTTGAATCACAACTCTGCAAGGAGACTAAGCTTATACACTAGTCTAAGGATCAACTAAATCAGCATCAGCATAATGCTTGTGCAAACTGATAAGCACATTCATAATAGCTGGTTAAAAAGGAGCCTAGACCATAGCAGGAAAAGGTGACATTTTTATGAGCAGACTTCCATGTTTTGAAAAAAATTTATACTAGTGGGTAAATCTGTCTATCCCATGGTAGGAAAAAGGGAAAACCACACCTCCCTTAATCCACAACTCCCACAAGAAAAGCTTAAGTAGCTCATTTAGAAACAAAACAAAAATGATGAGTTCTGTGGAGGTTGTCCTTCATGCTGGGTTCTTTAGAGATTTACTATTTCATGTGCTCCCAAACTACAGTGATTCAGTTGAAGGCACAAAGCAGGAGAGGGATCTCACAGTCTTCCTGTATGTCTACCAACAGAAATGTTCCAAACGGAAGTGACCCCAGCAGCTTAACATCCCATCTCATATATGTTACATTATTTTGGATTAGAGCTGTTAACAGTAGTCTTTGTTGAAAAGTCCTCCAGAGACATGAAACACAACCATTAAACAAAGATTTCAGAGTCAGATTCAATAATGGAAAAGCAATAGAATAACTCACCTTGATATACAGTGGCTCTCTAAGATGGTCAACAATAATACAAGCCTTTTCCTCCCACACAGGATTCAGGTTCTTGTGTATAATTTTACTTCTAAAAACTTCTTTTCTTCCAATTTTAAACTTCACATATGGATCACTTGTCCCTGTTGAAGAGATTCCCATCAGGCATTCCTTTCTATAGAAGTAAGATAGCTGCTCATTGGAACATCAGAAAGAATTAAAGGTTAATTAAAAGTTAATTGAGACCTATCCCACAAGAACAGGTTTTCTTCTCTAAATCTGAAGTAAGATCAAATTATCATCATTATTGTTATTACTTTATCTTCTCAGCATAATTCTGTAAATGTATGCTGACTTTTCAGAAACACAATTGCTTTCACAGTGGCGGAACTAATTTACATTTGACTAGCAGGCTTTGAAGGCTCTCCTTTTCCTGCATCTTCATCAGTATGTGTTGCTATGTGTTTTATTAATGATAGCCATTCTGGTTACAGTAAGTCAGGAGATCTCACTTTAGTTTTTAGTTTTCATTTCCCCAGCTGCAATGGCGAAGAATGCTGAACACTTTTATCATGTATTTACCAGCCAGTTGCAGTAGAACTGTTGAAAATTTTGTATCCATTTTATTAGCCCTCCTTACTGGTTGGGCTGGTTTTGTTTGATTGTGGTATCTGTTTTTTAGGTTCTTTACATATATTTTGGACATCAATCCCATTAGATATTGAGCTAGTGAAGATTTTTCTTCCTGTTCTGTAGGCTGTCTCTTCATTCACTGTCTCTTTGTTCAAATTGTTCCTTTGATGTGAGCATTTTAGCATGAAGAAATCACAGTTGTCAATATTTGGTTCATTTCCTGAGCATAAAGGTTCCACAAAACAAACAACACTTAAAGAAAAATAGAGGGTGTAATATAGCCCTTACTACAGAACTATATAGAATACTTAGCAAGCTTGTTTAAAACCCTAAGGTCAGTTATAATAATAATAAACAAAATCCTAAAAACAGAACTGTCATAAAAAGCAGCTACTTGGTTCCTGAGTACATATTCAAAAGATTCTAAGTAAATATACCACAGAGACACTTGCACATCTATGGTTATTGCAGCAAGATTCATAGGAACCAATGTATGGAATCAGTGACTAGAAACATAAGGATATACAAAGATAACAAGGTGCATATCCATTATGAAGTATAGATAAATGTCTTTAAAGAGACAGAAAAGTAATATTAAAAAGTACAGACAATAATAGATTAAAGGAGTAAAGATAATAAAATCAGTGCTAAAAATCAATAAAATAAAAATAAGCCACATAAAAATAAAAATAAAAAAAGAGTCTGGATTATGTATAATATTGTGTTTGCTTTGAATTTTTTGACTGTGAATGAGCTAAACAGAGAGAGACATTTCATTGTATGGGCTGTTAAGCTAAACCAACATATATATATTTTAAAGGTATCTTGACTTCAAAATTTGGGTCTAAGGATATGTTGATTTGAAAAAGAAGTTCTGCTTTTGCTTCCATAGAGGATAGAAAGCTGTGGGTTCCTTATTAGATAATATGGTTTGATCAAAGAGGACCCTATGAAGCAAATGGCCCAGATGGTCCAACATCCGTGACAGCTTCAGGACTGCTGACTGAGATAGACTTACCATACAGGATACCCCATTAAATATCTGATTAACAATGCCCCCAACCAGCAGGAAATAGTCTAGAGAACAGTGCCCAAATTCCCTAAGTGGTTGTATATAAATGTCTATTTACATTTAAAGGGGATATGCTACAGAAATGAATACTTTGCATAGGTATGGATCTTGGTCTACTGATACAAATTTAGTTTTAAAGGCCAAATTATGTGAATCTTTGAAAGATTTGAAGAATACCTATCCATCTGAAATATATCTCTGTACATCTAGAAAATTTAATTATATCTATCTATTAACCTGTATTTCTTAATTATACATTACATTTTTAAATGAGCTACACAAGTACAATACCTTAATCAAGAATAGAAATATACATATAACAAAATTGACCTTAAATTTGTATTAATAAACCAAGATCCATACAGGTTAAACATTAAAAAATGGAAGTAAGATGAACTTAAAGGAGAGGCCTGATAATATTTCCAAGTTAATCAAAAAAATTCTGGGTTTTATTCTTTTATTCATTTAAGTATTTGGACATATACTTAATGGATTCTTGTCAAAGGTAAATACTCCATCAAATATCCAAGATATTTTGAACACAAATCTTACGTTCAAAACTTTGTGTGCCCTCATAAGCTTACAAGATCTGCACATCAGAAGTTTGTTTAATGAATAATAGAAATTAAAATAAATTTTCATTAAACATTAAAATATGAATGCTTTCCTCAATTTCCCATCTGAATAAAGTTTTAATTAACTTGTATTTTTTTATTGAGAAAAGGAAAAAAATTTCCCATCTGAATAAAGTTTTAATTAACTTGTATTTTTTTATTGAGAAAAGGAAAAAAAA